CCAGCTTAAGCCCGAAGTTTGGACATCCTTAGCACAGCCGTGGAGGCGGGAAGAGGCTCCTGCCACGGCTGCTGCGCTCGCCAGCCGTCTTTCTGACTGAGCAGTGCTCCCCCCTGTGGGAGTGCACTGACCACCAGGGTACAGCTCCTGCATTGAGCGTCTGCCCCATGGTGGTCAGTACGCATCATAGCGACTGGTCATTCACTGTTTGGTCGATTTGCATATTACCCTTTTATTATATAAGACTAGTGACCCAGCGCATGCAATAGCACGAGACCCGGGACCCCGCCTGCGCCGCGGGCCTGCCCCAAGTCCTGCCCCGTGGGGCCGGCACACTTCACAACGGCCCCCCGCGGCCTACACTGCGGGATTCCCCCGATGCACCTCCTAGTCAAGTCCCCGCTGGTGCTGGCGTGTGCCTGCCGCGCATGCAGCCTCCTGCTGATTGGTTGTTACCGCGTGAGGGTGTGACGACCACAGGTTTTTTATATATATAGATTATTCCAGTTGTCAGGTAACTTGCCTGAATTTAGTCACCCAAAATCAGTTGCTAGGGCTGAGCTTTACTCCATTATTGAGCTAAAATTCAGTATAATTATATTTAATAATGCATTTGTGGAATTGAGCATTTAGAGTCTTTAGAGATCTTTTCATTCAACTCCTTATTTCAAAATAGAGGAAACAGAGGCATTTTTTCACTTACTCTCTCTTAGGCTATATAGTTAGATATCTATATTTGAATGCTATATATCTAATGCTCTATGTCTAAAAACTTTTGTTTTACCCATAAAAACATATGTCTTAGTAACTCCTTTGAAATCTAGAACATTCCTGGAAAAATAGACTGATAAAAAATTTTCCATTTTTCAATTTAACTTTCAAAGTGTGTTTGAATTTAATATATCTTTGGAGCAAATAAAAATGTTTATCAAAATCTTAGTAGTATGTTTACCTATATTTCTTTTATTGTTTGCAATATTGCCTTGACAACCCTATCTGAAATGTCAGGCTCTTAAAAAGGAAATAAAACTTGCAGTTTGGGTCATGTTTCCCTCTGCCCTGCTCTGCGATGTGTGGAAAAGGAAACTGAATGGTATTTCATCAGAAACTGGTCTGGTTTAACTTTCTGCATTTCTGTGTTTTCCCAGATATGATCTTTCTTCAGGGATCAGAGGTCATATTTAAAGTGGCTTTAAGTCTGTTGGGGAGCCATAAGCCCTTGATTCTGCAGCATGAAAACCTAGAGACCATAGTTGACTTTATAAAAAACACACTACCCAACCTGGGCTTGGTGCAAATGGAAAAGACCATCAATCAGGTACGATTCAGTCCTAACCTTTCCAAAGGTAGAAGCTTTATTATTATTATTATTATTATTATTAGTATTGAGCAGGACCTATTTCCTCCCACTTTGTACTCTGGGCAGCATATTGTGTGATGCCTGGTGTGTAGGAGTCACATCGCAAATATGTGTCCAGTGATTAAATGTGAGTGTGCGTGTGCGTGTAAATGTGAGTGTGCGTGTGCGTGTGTTGTGAGTCCAATGCTGACATGTCATGTGGCAACACCATGGCAATGGTTTAGGTGTGGTTGACCAGCACAAATTATCAGTCCTAGTCATGTGTTCTTCTAAAATTCATACATCTACTCAATGTAGGCTGTTGTAAAATAAGTGTTCTCATTTTTCTGCTGAAATATTATTTTATAAAAATAACTTTTCATAGCAAAGTTGTGATAGAGCATATACATTTTATATAAGTTTATTCCACAATATTTGTGTGTGTGTGTGCGCGTGTGCACACGCGCGCTCTCACTTTAATAGAATTCTCCTCCACACCTGTGGTCACAGCACCTCTGGCTTCTGGGTGCAGTAGAACCATTACTGTCTGGAATGTTAAGGGTGAGGGGTGAATGGAGCCAGGAATTACAACTGGACCAGTTATTCCATGGTCTGGATTAGGGGTGGGAGCAGATTTGGACTCTGCCTAAGGAAGAATCTTCCAATAGTGATTGCTGACTGCGAAGGGCTGAGCTGCTTAGCAGAGGGCGGGGTCACCTGGGAGGAGCCCAAGGTGGGCTGGCTGAGAAGCTCTGAGGAGAGGTCTGTGTGGAGCACTGCCGAGTCAGCCTCAGGCCTCTCTAAGCCTAGAACTTACCTCACCTGCTCCAAATACAATGAAAACAGAGCAATTCCAAAAAAACAAATAGTGAAATAAAGCTTTTAAAGAATCCTTATTCTGAGAACTTCTGTTAGTCCAAGAGGAGCAGCGCTTCTGGTCTGGTGCCCCCAGATGCGGAGTTGTGATGTCCTGGCTGCCCCTCCTTAGGTGTTGGGCACAGAGAAAGGAGCAAGAAAGCCTGGACGGGGTGGGGGAGGGGTGCCATGCTAGGCGTCACTTTGCATCTCTGCACGTTTCACAGGCCTGTGTGAGGGAGCAGCTCTCCACTCATTGATAGGCTCCGCCTCTAAGTCTGGCTTGTGGAGGCCCTACTTTTACCAGGTTCCGTGTGAGTCTATAAATACACATGATTTCATTTCATCATGACTGCACTCCCGAGCGGAGAGGTGGCTTTAACCCATGAGGAGCCTGGGGCTCAAAGTGGATGATGGACTGGCCCTCAGTCACCCGGCTTCGGAGTGGACCGGGCGGGTCTCACACTCGGATCCTCTGGCCTCACAGGCTCTAGCAGCCACCCAACACCCCCCAGGGCTTCTGGGTGTCATTTCACTACAGAGTTTCTCTGTATTTTACCTGTATATTAATACCCAAATCTCCACCCTTTGATACTGTAATTCCTGGCATTTGTGTGCATTTATTCCTTCTCAGAGCTTTTGTTGCATATATTTTTGTTCCCCTGGTATGTTATGCTGCTGGGGAAAGGCAGAGAGCCTTGGTCACTGAACCCAATGTCTGGCCCAGTGAGTGCCTTGACTTTGCTCCTGACTCTAAGGCCAGCAGCCTCAGCTGACATTGTTTACCTCCTGGATATTGAGCTCCAGGAAAAATCCCATTTTCCTCCCCTTTTCTGTAAAAGGCACCTACTGAGATTATTGGGTGCCCCTTAAGTGTCCGCCCGGAGGACAGACGTGGACACAACACAGGGAGAGAACAGTTTTATGTGTGTCGCTGGTTTTCTTCAGGCGGCTGCTTTGAACTTGGCATTTGTTAGACCACTGACTCCTTGACAGCGTTGGAATGGGGACTATAATCCCTGTTTGCCGCTGGGGAGCCGACCGGATGTGGAGAGAGTAACACGCCCCCACCC